ATACGTAAATGGTTCACCATACAAAACGTTGTTTTATATGAATAACATTGGATTACGATTAATATTGGATTGCTTAGTTGATTTTCCAGTGAATTATCAATTTATTGCTTTGAAACTATGTTAAAAATGTGTTTTTTCTATACAATGGATGGTGTTTATTTATAAAAGTAGTCAATATTTACGGTTAAATTAATGAAGTTTAAATATCCAAGTTACCTTTTTTTTTAAAGTAACTGATTCATTTATATAATGCACTCTCATTTATAATCTGCAAAAGTCCTGGAAACGATGTGTGTGTCATTTAAAGTCTTGTTAAATAATCTATAATTTAGCTTACATAAATTATATTGAAAGCACTTGATTCTAATACATTTTATTACGAAGCTGCCCCATGAACACTGCAACTTTTTGTAACTAAAATCACTTAGCTAAGCAGTATTGACAACACTGGTTTAATAGTACACCTATCAGTACAAAAATTTTATAAGCTCAATGGTTCATCCCCAGTCTACACGTCTGCTTAGTCTGATACTAAATAAGAATCTGGGGTTACGTATTAGTTGAACTCTATTGATTTCAATTAGACTATCGGTAGCTCCTTTATCTCAGAGCAATAATTTTTTAATTCCATCCAAGTTTAGGGAAGACGAAATTTATTTTTCAGTACATACCATTTGCCATTACTGTACTGATTCCGGTCAAAGATAATATTTTAATAATTATTGGCCTTGTAAATGGTTATTTTATTGTTAACAACCTTTTTTGTCTACTTTATTAAGAGGAATTTTGTAACACTTCTGCATCCAATGAAGTATAGTGGCCCTCTCATAGCGTAATGTAGAAGCGCTCTCGTACTTAGAAGTGCAGAGGTTCAGTTGTGGCACTCGATGCATGCGATATTTTAATAATTGCTTGAGAACTTGTTGTCATCACTTAAAAGAAGTAAAAAACATTTATTCTAATAAGTTGCTTTATATGTATATATTTGATAATTTACAGTTTCCAAGGACTTGTAACACAAATTATACTCAATAGCACTTTCATGTTGTAGGCAAGTTTTTGAGTAATTAATAAGATGTCTCATGCATCAAATGCCTCCATTTAACCTCAACTCTTCTAAATAGTAACGTAACTGTCCCAGCTTAGAGAAGCAACCATTCCGTAACAATGGAGCGTTATTTAACTCACTTTAAAAATGGTATGGTTGCTGTTCAGTGCTCTTTAGTGCAAGTAGTTTTGCCGCTATAAGGGCATTTGACCTAATTACTGCGCACTGAAATTTCTGAAAGTGCTAAATTATTTATTTCTCAATGTTTTCCGATGTAAAATTAAGTAGGTTCTTTTGATTTTCATCTGCAGCATCTTATGTGATTGAAACGACGAACCTTTTTTCTGTTATGTTAATCATTTTTGAAACATAATATAAATTAATAAATTATTTATGTAATTAAATAATTGTTTTTTATGTAACAAGATAATTTTTTTCAAACCACAGTAAAAATTATTTTTTAGCGGCTGCTTTACCTTATATTAATAAATATTCATCTAATTTTTATCAATTTGTTGATTTTAAAATCAATAAAAAACTATTTATGGCATACAAGATTCTCTTAATACCTTAATTGATTGTTATTTTGTTTTATTACATCACAATTTTTTTACTCGTGACTAAGGTGGTTTTTCGACTCAAGGACATTCATCACAGTTAGTGGGATGAAAGTTCAGAGAGATGAGAGGAGCGCAAATATGCAGCAACGCTGGCAATTATTTTGCCCATATGGATATACGTATCCATACGCTTTTATGCATACTAAAACTCTTGTTTCTAATTTTATTAAAAAAACAACTTATTGATATATCAAAGAAATAAATAGGTTTATCTCATATTTATCTGTTATAAAAAGAATTAGGAAATTTCTACTCATCATTTTCTTATAAATGCAATTTTATGTGATTCTTCTGTAAGATTACTTGTCAAATTGAGATTTTTTAAAATTAAACATATGAAAAACGGTACAGTTAACTTATCTGCAATTTTTTATAGGTTTCTTTAAGCTACAATTAATGTACCTTAGATGTTTTAATAATATCCATCATAAAAACCTATGTGCGATAAACGTCTTGCAGCGATATTCACTGTCACGTAACTATGTATGTACTAGACTCTGTTTAAGATAAAGTGGTACTACAGGATGTTTCTTCTTACCCTTCTATATATACATACATTGTATGTACAAAAAACGTGACTACGAATAAGCGTACGAGCGTATGTAACAGATGCAAGCGTGAAGTTAGAGATGTAATCAGCGTAGGTGGTAGGAAGTTGTTTTAGAATCCTCGAAAGATTCGATGAAAGCGCACAGTCTTATGCTTGCTAGTCTAGCAGGGGGTTGTGACACGGCTTTAACTTAAACTTTTATTATCTATTATACATATTTTTAATAATTTTTTACTTGTTTAATACTAAAATATGTATTGAAACCACGCCTAATAATCAATTCGTTAAAACGGTAACTGCACCTCAATGAATAAATCGCAGTAGATTATTTGAAATATTATTTCATAGAAGGTACTTCACTTTATTTATTATTTTTCATAGAAGTATAACTTCTTGTTTGGGTACCTGAGCACCCACTGACCACTGACTGTTTGAGTGTTGATATCACTTACTTGTACTACTGAGCACGATTATAAAATCACCACCTATTACTACGCCCCAGTTACTGTGACAGTATATCTATAAGATTTTCATATTGAAGTCCAGATCCAATTACTGTGCACCAATTACTACAAAAAAATTTGTATTTTATGACGGAAAGTATCATTCTTGATTAAACGTTATTAATGTTCAAACGTGTTACAATGTTTGAGCACAAAAATTTTCCATTCTGTTTTTCGCATTTTGTATTACTGACAAGTGTGCAATGATTGGTGCCTGCACAATAATTGCGTCATTTACCCTTATATAGTAAATCTACAGATAAATGTCATTTTACTCACAGTGCCCACCCGTACTACATACTAACAAATTTTGCAAGTATTGTGTAAAATGTATTTAGAGCTACATAATTAAAGAATTATGTAACTTTCGCTGGAAAAAAAAAAAATAATAATTAGACGTATGCATATCTAAACTTATAAGAAAAATGTTATGAAATACGTCTATTTTCTGAATCTTAGTAATTTTTCTTTCTTTCTTTTTTTCAATTATCATGCAGCAGATTTTCAGTGGCATTACATTGAATAAACGATAGTTTCCAACTAATAATTTTAATGGTTTCCTCTCCATTTTCGTACGTAGAAGTTATTGCATCAAGACTTTGACAGCTATTTGATTTTTTATATAAAGGAAGCTTAGTAATGAATAAGAAGTCATTCATCGAGATTTTATGGTATAAATTTTTTAGGGAATTTCCAAATAGAAATACAGGACATTGACAAACGTATCTTTCTCTCTCTTTCGTCGTTTCTGTCTCTCTCTCAATCTGTTCGTGCGAATGTATGTGTGTTATCTGTTCTATCTAAGAGTTCTTTCGACCAAATTGGATCTCTAACATGTATTATCATTATTTTTTAAAATTTAGTTTATCATTCTTCTTTTATTGCTGTTTTGAGATATTTTACATAAAAATATAAAAAGGTTTGTATAATGCAACAAAGAGTAACATTTTCAGATAAACTAAAAAAATAGGGTGATTGACTGTGAGCTAACATGTGCATGCACATGGTGTGTGCGTGCGTGTGAGGTATATATAGAATTAATCAAACCTTAAGATTTTTCAACAGATTTTGATACAACATGAACCGAATTTTTTTGTCTTAACTTAACTTAATATAAAATGTTCACAACAAATAAAATCAAAATTACAGTTTTATCCGATACTTTTTTTCTCATTTTCAATGATTATTATTTCTGTTATCGATTGATCTTAATTTTATTTAAACTCTTCATCACTGTTTTAATTTTTTTAAAAATTATAATTAGAAAGACCACGGATATTTAAATAAAACAATTTTTTCAGTTAAAAACCTACATTATGTAGAGAATATAGTTTGAAGATGAAGACAATATTTTTAACTTTCATTAATATAAACCTTAATACATGGGTGGCCCTAAAGTTAAAGTAATCAGATAACTATTATGTCCACCTTCTTAAAAAAAATGTCATTCTTTTTTAAAATAGGAGCATGAATATACGAGTGTTGAATTATTTTTTTTTTTTCATAAGGCTTAGCACGTTTAAAGCATCATTATATCAGTGGAAAATAGGAATATGCTATGAGCTTTAAAATAATAAAGGGGTAACGTAGCAAAGTAGCATACCTAAACAACGAAGTATAAGTAAAGTAGATTGAGTAAAGTAAAGCCATTTAGCTAAAGAATGAAAAAGGAGGAAAGTATATTAACACTATAGACAAGAAGACAATACAAAGCGTTTATTTGACAAATATTTTGTATGAGGAACATACAAATGTAAAACTAATTCAAGCATAGATCATCTAAACAACTGTAAGAATGAATAAAAAACTAAAGAAAAATAAGCTCATCGATTAGCAATAGGCTATAAAGCTACAGTAAGTTTAAAAACCTGATATCTATACTATACTTTGTTAACCACGCTACTTTATGTTATCTGGAATAATTAAATTTATTTACTAAAAACAACTTGAAATTGAAATTAAAGCCATTGAGCAAAGGAGAAGCTACATGTAATTATACAACTCTGTAGTATACTCTGCATTATAAGACTCTGTAGTAATGGAGCTTCATTGTGTCAAAGCATCTATTTCATTCATTGTTCTTCTATTTTGCCCAAAGAATCCTAATATAATGCAGTAAAAAATTAATTTGAAAAAAACAACCTTAAACTTTACCTGTAAGTGATACTTTCTATTACTGTGTGTATCAACTGTTCAAACCTATTAAAAAGTCAAGCCCCCAGGAAAACGCTTCACTTCGCTCCAATAATTTGAAATACTTATTAAATATGTAATCTTACCTCGTCTTATTTGATTTAAACATGCTAGCATTCTAATCATGAAAACAGCTGGAACAGTAATGGTATCTTTGGTTTCCTCTAGCATAACGGCATTTCTCTTCTTAAGCTAAAAAATAAAATCAAAACATCAATCATAAAAACTATTAAATTTTAAATCAAAATTGAGAGGGTAAATATTATTCAACTCTTACTAAAATCTTGTAACCTATGACATACTAACACAGTGACTACATACAACATCAAAAATCTAAAGCCACTTCTTGTCTCCACAGCTCTGCAACATCCTACGATCACACTGCCTTGAATTTTGTATTACACAAATTTTAACAAAGGCCTTAAATAGTAACCTAATCCATTAATAACCTGATCCGTTTTCTTAAGATACAGTATTCATGATATATTGTGAGCTGATGGCAAATGGTAAACCTATATTTTTACACACTTAAATGTGTTAAAAAACAATTAACAAAGCTCTATTAATTTATGTATTATCATACGACTATGCATAATACAGTTCATTTTTACATTAACTGTGTGTTGTAACTAATTTAACAGAAACCTTAAATTCAACTATTGTACTTATATTTTTTAACAACCAATATTTTTAGTGTTACTGGTGGCAAAAGAGTTTGGACATGATGTCATGGCCTTATTGCTTTTGAATGTATAGTATTGTTAGTAATATAGGTGGAATCATCATGTAGAAAAAATTAAAATAAGAAATACATAATTATTTGTTTACTACACTACTAAAGTAAACAAAGAAACAATCAAATAAGTTACACATTCTGTTTCGGAGAAATTCATGAAGGCCATAAACTACTATGTGCCTACTCAGTAAAATTCAAAATTGTATGCTATGCGATATTGTCCATTTCTAAAAAATCATTTATTATATATGTATCTAAATTCGTAATATGTTATGTTATTTTAATGCGTTGATAATGCTCAATATAACTGACCTCGTAAAAAATGGTTTCTTTAAGTACAAACCTAATTTGTTAGAACTTTCAACCTGCAACTTATCAATAGTCAGATGAAAAGCTGTTACTAAAGGAAACTGTACAACACAGAAAGTGAAGAAGATGATGTATCTGAAGTTATTTTTCGACTTTGTTTTTAATCTTTTCACCAGTAATCATTTGAGTATCAACGATATACTTGAGTAATTTGGTTATTTAGAGTCTCGTTCGATTACACAATCTTTTAACATGTATAAATTTCTTATCAACATTACAATAGTATTTATTTTTAACATTCGTTCATGAGGTACAAAACATTTTCGGATCAAATTAAAATATACAGTTGCAAAATGGACATGAATATTATTATCAGTTTTATCAAATCCCTTTTGAGTTGTATGCTGTAGGCTACAACAAGTTGTACTTTCTCCAATCATTGTTTTTAATATTGTTATTTAAAAAATGTGAATACATATTAGGAGATACAAAAATTTTGTTTTTGACTAATGATTCATTAATAGTACTAAAACTTTGGAGCAACATGGGTTTTCCATTTTTTTGGAATTTAAAACAACTTAATTTTACTTTCTCCAATTTTTAACAGCAATTAAGATCATTTTATGTCAATTGAATGTATGCTGATTTTTTAATTAAAAAATTTTTTTTTATTGCCACAGACTCGGAAATTCGATAGATTCTTCTATTAATATATTATTATTTGCATCGTTTTCGATAGAAATTTTACAAAAAACACTCTCTAAAATTATTAATTTATTACCAAATGGTATTTTAGTATCATACAAGTCCTTAAAAAATGATCAACAATTTTTAACATAAGGCAACACTGTGCATGCAGTAGATAAAATTCGTTAGTCCAGTGAACCGCAATAATAGATCTATGTTATATGCAAAATTTTTGTCAGGTACTCGTGGACCACCAATAAAAAATTTTTTTTCATTAGATCTCACAATCTCCTGAGAAAAGAATTTTTCATCTCCATTTAATTGTAAGAAAAAAAAAAAAAAAAAAAAAACAGTTTTTCGTTGCAATCCAAATCCAAAAACATTATTTTTATGATCCTTAGTAAAATAATCATTATAATACTTTTTAAGCTTCTTTGAAATTATATCTCCTCTGAAGTTTTATGACGGTAAAAATCATGCAAAACATTTTCGTAATTGAAATGGTAGTATGACGATACATGCCTCCTCAAAAATTTTATTTATTTTGGAATTATGATCAAGTAGACCCATTTAAATAGCAGTTTCCTTAAAAGTTCTATGACATATTCAATTAAAGAAAGTTTTTTCAATCATCAGAAAATTTTTTCTTATCACGTTATTTAAATTAGCTTGAAGTGAAACATTTTTTGATTTGTCAGTGCCATAACGTTTAATCTAACTATAGCAACATTTTTTTTACGTATTCAGGATTTTACAGGTAGCAGAGAGGCTGCTTTCAACCATGTGTCCCTTATCCTCACTGGCTTGCCTCAGTGTTTGAAACCACTAAACTGCTTCTGTTTTTAACGCGTTTTCCAAGGGCGAAGTATTTTATGATCTAAAAAAGATTTTTTACCGAGATAACCATCTAAAGAATACATACTCATTTAAAAAATTGAATTTGTACTTTTTTTTAGCGATTTTTTCACTGTTTTAACAAAACACTTTTTTTTTTACGTTTTTGTACATTGAAAAATCTACCATATTTTTAACATAGTTCGGTATCACTAATACCTACAACTTAAAAAATGTCTAGGACTATTAGAATCCTTATAATGTAATGTCTAGAAGAGAACATTTTCAGCAGTTTTTGACTGTATTCTTCAAAATAAAATGTATCCTAACAACTAAATAACGAAAAATCTATTTTTTTTATAATTTATTTTTCAAAATTAATAAATTCAAAGTGATAAAAGAATCCATTGATAAAAATGAACNAAAAATTGGCCAAGGTTTTCAAAAATAAGAAATGGAAATTTAAAAATGTAATAAATTACATATAAATGTACGTATACACCCACACATGCCAGCATATGATAATGTTAACTTTTATTTTATTGACATATCTTGTATAAAATCTTACTCTCTTAGATTCCTTAACCGATAACAATAATTTTTTCGACAATCATAAAAATCTAGAGTAAAAAAAAAACAAGAGGTAAAATTTAAAGTTTTTTTTTAATTGCAATAAATATTGAGAAATAAATGAAGTAGGCTAACTTCCTGTCCCTACTTGTTTTATATCCATGACTTAAATTCGAATTCAGCTTTTTTTTTTGTAACTTTGTAGTAACGAATTTTGCCGATTTCGAGATCTAAAATTGTATAGTTACCATCTACTTTTTTATTTAGTTTTTGCACCTGCAAACTTTTTTTTATTTTGAATCTCTTCTAAATTTTGTCTCTCATTAATTTATCCACATATACTTGTTTCACAATATGTTAATTAAACATCAGAAATATCCCATTATCTTATGTATATCTTACATCCTAATTTATCCATGATTTATTTGAGTCCACACCTTTGTAAATATTATTGCACATGCTGCGCATATATTACTGCGCATGCTGCACAGCAACACATTTTGATTAATTCGAAATTAAGCCTACGGTCCGTTAATTCTATAAACAAATAAATAAGTAAATAACTGTGTTCTCTGTATCTTTTAATGAAAGGGCAAAAATACTTAAGAAAAATGTTGAAATATTTTTTTTAGTGAGTGCATTCTTCGGGTATTGTGTCATTTTTTTTTCTTTACTTGTTACATTATCCTTTGTTTGGATTTAGTGAATTTTTTTTTTGCAACTCACTCTGCTACTTTCATATTTGTATTTATCTGTAACTCCCTGTTTTTTAAATATTCTTATTAAGTCTGATTTTTCTTACAGTTGTTATTTAACTATTGAAGTCTGGAACTATGTGTTATTATACATTGTTATCATGGTAAAAAGAATTGTAATAGTCAATCATTATGATTATTATTTTTCTTCATACTTGTATTTTTTCCTCTATTTCTACATGATTATGTTCTAAAACTTAGTCATTATGCCTCTTTATTCAACGGACGTAATACCTACGCTCTTATTTATATAAATATACGATTTATGTATCCATCTAGGAAGTAATTGGACAAGTTGGGATGAGTATCTTTAATTTCAAGTGTTTATCGCAGTTTAATGATCATACTAAAATATGGGCTTGTTTATAATAACTGTTTGTATATCTACTTACATCGTAGTCTTAGAAATTCTAGATCCAAGTATTTTAGCTTTATTTCTTCCAATGAATGACCTCCCAACAAACAATCATCAACATAAAAGTCCTCGCAGATCGTTTGAGCAGCTAAAGGATGAGAGTTCGTATAATCGCCAGCTAATTGACGCAAAATAAGAGTTACGAAGTACAGAGAACTTTTCAAACCATAAGCCACAGTGTTTAGCAGATATGTTTTAACGTTTGAAGATTTATTGGGACGCTACAAGATAGCTTGAAATTTTTGATCTTAAAGGGCCACCAATATATATCTGAACATCTTTTTGATATCCATTGAGAAAACGAATTTCGTGTTAGATAAATTTGATAGCAAATTCTTACCTGAATGTAATAGTGTGTTGAGGGAAATACGTGACCTATAAACTGGCGATCCATTGAAAACTACTCTTAATTTATTATTTTTAAGCACTTCACGATGTGGCAAATAACATGAGACAATTTTATGCTTCAACGGTTCTCTTATATGGATTAACCAGAGATATTCTAACTCAAAAGAAAAATATACCTCTCTTGATTGTTCATTTTTCAAAAATTTTAATTCTAAGTGCTGGAACATTGCCAGGGCGGTTTGGTATGATTGCTTAGATAATTCGAAATAAATAGAAAAGTTTAAATTGAAGGGTTGGCGCGTAATATAGCTGTGCTTTTGATTTCGTGATTGTGAACCGAGAAAAAACTCCTCACAAGCTAATTTATCCTTAGTTAATCTCGGGCACAGCGTGTGCAGTTCTTCAGTGGTCCAAATTTTCTGTACCAATTCATTAAGCCAATTTTCTTCATGACTAAGCATAACCAATAATCTTTTGGCGCTATTTGCTGCTCGATGCTACTGTTAATCCAGCCATTATAAAGTCGAGGACGAGAAAG